CTCCGGCTGAATGTCTTTCTCAGAAAGAGTGTGAAGAAGTTTGGATCTGTCAACACAATTAAAGGCATCATTATAATCAAAGAAACATACACGAACAGCTTTAGATTTCTTATTCAGGGAAGGAGAGACATAATGAATAAGGGATACCAAGGCAGCAATGGTTGATCTGGAACTTCAATAGGCAAATTGATTGGGATCAAGCGCATTCAGCTGGGACAACCTCTTCGTAATAAAATATTTTCCAGGACTTTCGTACCAACAAAAGTGCAAGGAATCGGGCGAAATTTGAACGGTCTCTTTTTGGGCACTGGCGTGATGAAAGCCACTTTCCAGCAGTCCGAAATATATTGTTGAGTAAAACATAGGTTGAGTAGGTCGGTGAACACAAGGAAAAGGGGAACTGCACATTCTTTGAGCACAACAGGTGGCAGTCCATCAGGACCGCATGCTTTACTGGAATTCAGACTGATGAAAGTTTTGAATACTTTCGTTTGATCAGTTATTAAATTAAAAACATTAGGATCAGGGGTGATCACCGTGAGTGGAATAGGGATGTCCGTTTCAGCATTGCTGAATTGGCGATTGAGATCGTCCACATTGGCAGCTGGAAGATTCTCCTTCGTTTTGAGACCGCACATCATTTTCCATGTATCCCGACAATTCCAGTCTGCTAGCAGTGCATGTACGTAAGCGGCGTTTAATCTCCGCAATTGAGCCTTGATTGCTTCCGAATGGTCTGTCTCCAAAGAGTACTTCTTTCTTTGAAAGCCTGTTCTTTCCTCCGATATAATCTTTGAAGTGTAGGGGACGAAAAACGGTCTGACCGTACGTATAAAGATTCTCACGAGCAGCACGTACCATAACACAACTTCAAATATTCAGTCATGGTATCACAGAATATAAAGGGGTCATTATTTACAAAAAAGACAAATCTATCTGATCTAATATACTCCTTAGTTTGGTGGGATTTTCGGGTTGACATAGACACCGATGAAGACGACGATCACGATGCCGAGTGTATAACTGATGGTTGTATCTACTGTAGACTGTGGAAGATAGTTTCAGTGTTGCATGATCCGAGGTACAAACAAGAGAACGGCTGCGCAAGTTAGATAAATTCAGATCGTTAATGAAACACAAATCAAGACAAGCCTCGAGTCTAGTGGGGAAGTTAAGAACGCTTTGTGGTCCAAGGGTTGTCAAAAACAAAACATCATACCTATTGAAGTGACCACACACGATACAAAGGGTGGAGTCTACGTAACATAGTAAAGCGGCAGAGAAAATAGCTGAGAACTCATTAAAAAGATCAATGGAACACGAAGGAGAAATGTAAATGTTATCAAGAATAATATTTCGGTATTTACTGAGATATTTAGGTTTGCATTTATACAGTGAAGTACCAATAAAAATGGTAGAATACATAAAGACTTGTTTGCTTAATTTGCACCAATTGTCATTTATGTATGTGATAACATCACCTCCTCGTTTGTGAAGCGGAATGGGTCTGTCAACTCGGCAGATGGAAAAATTGTCGTCATCATCAATTTCATTATGGCGCTAACTATCCTGAAGCATTACGTCTCCAAACTTTCAATATTCACTTCTCCTTGTCAGATCTATTACTTCTGCTATATTGCCTAGCAGGGAGTGCACATTTCCACTGATGAATGCTGGAATGCAAATGTCGGAAACTGATCGTTTGCGTAGTGCGACTTGCCATCCATGTCGATGTTTCTGGGAAATTTTCTGAGGTTTCGGTAAATTCTTCTCTCTCTGTCACGAACCGATTTGCCAAAAGAAGGTAAAATCCCGTGGCCGGAAATTCGAAGTTTCTTCATGAAAACGGCAGAGTATTTCACAGAATTAAGGATGACCATAATTACACAACGTTTCTATGACAACAAACAACGTGTATTCCAGATAAAATCCAGTGAAGAGTGATTGTGTAGTTCCGAGTCCGACGATGTAACGGACCGCGCGACCAATTTCAAACCCCGCCACCATGTTTGCGACACGAAGCGAGCACATGCGATATGCAGTCCGAGATACGTTTTATTCATGATGTACTTCGGTCAACTGGTTACCCGGAGGCTTTTACTGATAAGCATATATTTTTGAAGACCAATACGAACAAAAGCCCGACCGTTTCTCGCAAGGTGACTATCAAAATGTATTGTTGAGATCTATCCTGCGATCCTCTACAAAGGAACGGTTAGATGCATTCGCAGATCAGTTCTTGATCATCTTGTCGATGATGGCCATTTTGTGAACAAGTTGGATGCATTCACAACTATTCATACTGTACTCCAGAGACATTCCAAGGGAATAACAAAGCGCCTTTTAACCACGGCCGATGCGATCGCAATTCGCATTTGGAATCCACAGTTATGCAAGCAAAAAAACTGGTCCATAGGCTGTTGTTCCTTGGCCTGGAAAACGGATTGATTGTGCACAAAACAAAACGTCAAGCCCTCCTCCTCAGACCAGCCCCTTCCTCATCCAGTATCATCAACCACAATCTTAAGAACCGACTACTTTACTTCTGTATCCAGTGTTCCTTCCCGATTACATCACTTGCTATGCATGATATATAGTTTCTACCGTACATTACGTAACTTCATCCCGCTTTCTCATCTGAGCTAACAACATTCATTTTAATCTTCCCATCTATCTAACGTTTTCCATTCGACCTTGTCCCTCTCACCCCCTCCACGAGTATCACTGTAGATTTGTCATATTCGTTTGCTCTGTTTACTTGCCTCTGTCATCGTTACCAACTGAGCTTTAATCGGTCAATCAGATACTTGTACCATAATCATCTTATATTTATAAACGCCTGGTGCGATATACCGAAAATAAATTTCTTCGCGTTCAACAAACTTGGCCATTCTTCGTCAGCACATCTCACGCACGGATCGAAACAGTGATCGGCTATTCAAACTGCACAAACGGAACACCGGGGTATTATTACCCGATTTATTTGTTCAATGAGATTCGGGGAAAGTTTGCCATATTACTTTGCAACAAAACTGCAGTTTGACTGGTGGAAGATATCACAACCATCTAGCAGAATAGGCAAACGGTTTTGTGTTGTCTCTCAGACACACTCTTTGGAACGAACACGCGACATAATTAACTGCCTCCGACCGGGGCTGCTGAGGGTCGCTATCGTTTTTTTACTCGTTTGTATCTGTACTTAGCTATCAATTAGTGAAATACAAAGTCTTCTCGCTTCGCTTACACACACAGTTGACTTGAACAAAAATGGTATTTGTACAGAACCGACTGTTTGTGCTCTGATTTATCAACGCATTGTGAATTGCCACATCTTACTTAAAGCCAAAATAATCCTGAGCTTCGCGTCTTTAATAATACACCCAGTTTTCTTACATTAGTGTTTCCAAATTTCGCTTTATGAAATATTGTAATCATCCCTGATACTGTAGAGGCGACTGAGAGGGATAATCGTGTAATATTTTCCTTTGACCGGTTTACTATTGTGTCCGTGCCAGTCCGTGCTACATTTTCCTAACATTTCAGGATCAACTGACCCATTCTTCCGCGAGAGCGCACGCGATTCCAGGCAACAGTAGGTATGTTTGATGAGACCGGNGGGGGGGGGGCGGGAAAGGGCTGAGGGGATAAAAAGGAATTGTTGTTTAAACAGAAAAATTGTCACCATCTACCTACATTGTTATTTAGCAGATTAAAGTTACTATATAATCAGTGTGTGCTCATTTTTTTCAAAATCATTTTACCGTTCGTAAGAAGAGATCACTTGCATGGAGAATAACCTTTAATAGTAGCAGTAACTGAGTTGTACATTCCGATGTTAACAAGGTTCATGAATGGTGCGCTGTTTGAAATCAATTTTGGTTGAACCTCTTTTCTCAGCCATCCATTAAAAAAACCCACAAGAAAATGATGAGATTTGTTGAGATGAAGTGAACGTAACAATCTTTGCCCAGACGAGTGGAAAGTGCCCCTCTGTGGAATTCATTCATTCCATTTGGGAAAGGATGATGTTTAGTGCTAGTGTTTTCTAACTGAGTTACATTTGAATCTAGTTTCAGCTGTTAAAATGAAGTTGCCCTCTCACATTTGCTAACTCCTAACAAGTCATATACGAAGTTATTTAGAATGCACATTTAGAACCCTAGACGAAGTTTCAGATTTTTGAAATCTCTCCAGAAGTCAATTTGCAATTCCGAAAAAATACTTTGCTCTTGAAAAGCTTTTCACATAAATTGCCTATCAAATAAACTTTGCTTGTTGACTGAAAGTTAACCTCTATATGAAGCAGTCAAAGCTCGGCAACCCTCATCGTCATACTCAATTTTTTTCGAGCTGTTTACACTTCGTTCCCCACTAAATCGCGTTCAGTCATTTCAAACTACAACTATCCTAATATGCGACGTAGCAAAAATTATTGATTCAACGAATTTATTTGTTGCTTTTGTTCATCTATTGTTTTGCTTTTGATATGTTTTGTTTTATTCAGTTGAAACGGATAGGACGAGTTGGAGGTTAGCATGCTTTTAAGAGAAATATAAACCGTACTGGTTGATCTCCTATGAAGACCTACGTACTCACAACTATAGACAAGATGTTTCATTGGCCAATGGAAATTAAAAGGTCATCTGACTAGTGGACCAATCAGAGTGAACGTCACCGGAACCGGCTAACCAGGGAATGGTTCAAATCAAACTAAGGGATAGAAAAAGCACACAACTCAAATGAGAAATACCTCGAAGGACGGTAAACCCGGATTATCCCCCAAATGCAAATAACCTGTGCGACTCGATAAACATGCTCTATCCACAGTTCATAATAAAACGCACCTGGATATCTTTTGTCCTCGGCATTCTATTCGGATTTTTCATCGTTTTTAATGCACGCCACTACCGAGCACCAAGGGTTGCGCTGGAAAGTGCACGGAAACTGATCACACTTTTCCAGCGCTCATCTCCTCATTGCTCTATCACATACGGTACGTTATGGTGTTCCATTTGTCATCTACTGCTGTCTCTCAATACGAAACAGATATCGATTTGACAGGTCGTTTTGAGTTGGAACGTGCAGTGCGGATTCTGTGTTACGTGAACACTATACCGGAAACGTATGAGAACAAAGCGAGACACGTGATGAACACATGGGCGCGGCAATGTACCAAGGTGATTTTTATCAGCTCGGAAGATAGTACGGAATTGCCGGTTATCAGTAAGTGCATCCGTCGACTAATTGTAATGCATCACTGTTTTATCTATACTACTTTGCACTGCTGGTATTTCGATTCTCTTAAATATGTCTTTAACAGCCAGGAAATATGCCTCCATTCATTCTAAACGGAAATTAAAAATTATTAAGCAATCCAATGTACATCGGTCTCCACTATCTTCATTTCAAGCACAAAATGCATCTGGGAAACGAATAGACTGTAGAGTTATAGTCAATTGTAATCAATCACTCAATCAACCAGTCAATATATATCGATTATCCCTCCGCACTACTCACAAGTAATTGGGATTTCCATGCGAATTATCAATCTGGCCTACTAGGTTTGTGGCCGATCAACCCTGAGTTGGTGGGAGGCTTTCGAGTGAAGCTAACAAATAGTCAACTGTGTATCCCTTCATCGTTGTGGAGCTAAATGAACTGACTGATTATCACTGAATAAACACCTGAATAAACATGAATTAGCAGTTCGATTCAGCCATGGTATGAGCTGGTTTGCACAATGGTAACGCACAGGCCTTCAATGTGTTGGGACCGGAGTTCAAATCCCGGTCGGGACAGTGGATATGCGCTATTGGTAAGCTCTAAACAGAGCGAAACTGGAATCAATAGTGCTCCCGAATGTATGCTTGACTGGAAGAGCTGAGGAATGTGCGTGAAGGTGAAGCTCCAAAAGCATGGTCAGTTCCAATCAGTCAGTCAAGACTTGAAAGTATTTTAAAGATTCATTTATGAATAAGTATCTCCTTACTGTTAGAAAATCAATATGCGTTTGGCTTTTAGACAAATACCGTCCGGATAGATAGCTTGCCATTCCTGTAGATTCAGTAACTACGCTTACCAGCTAAGTAGTTNCAGCACTGTGTTTGTGTGTGCGCGCGCGGTCCTGTATCTAAGGCGATATGGTGTCTGTCCTACAAAGGACTAGACGACATCCGTGCTGGAAGAAGGCGAGGAGGGGGTTTCAGAATCCCATGGAAGGCGCTGATATTTCCGTACCTCCAACAAGAGCACATATTAATTATCTCATCAGGCTAATAACATACATTCGACACGTTTATCGGTCGACTTGGTCTGTTGGAAAGCGTTCGCGGTTTCATTGCTTCTACGTAGAATTCACTTGACTGTTTCCGACACTGGATACGTGTATTCGTCACGGGCGTCAGGGAGGCCATAAACCGTTTGTGTCACTTGCAATACGTTTCACGGGAATGCCAGACAAATTAAAAGTGACGCAAAACCACTACATCGATTGTTCCATGTGGTTTAACTCTTTCATTATATTGTAAACTTTCCACTCAGGATTAGCATCTCCATCATTCACAAGGGTTAAGCAAAAGTCTCCGAATGATCAAAAGGTTTTATTTGTTACACAAAAGTAAGCATTGCGTTTTCTTTGAGTATTCTCTTCGAGCGTTCAGACACATAGTTTCATACGCTCAAACCATCTGGTGAAATAGCTCGACCACACCAAAGCAGGTAACCACCCTTCAACCAGTTCAATAAAAGCTTCCACTGCAGCTGTCGGTGACTCGCATTGTATTCTATGCATCATGCGTATGGAATTTGGGGACACAGTGCTTCTTGAAGGCGCGCCATTACCAAATTCAGCTCGCAATCGTGCAACAATCTGTTGCTGATGCTGGTTCTGCTTTAAACCACCTTTGCAGTCGTAGTAAATCATTGTCCACATCCAGTCATATCGATAATAGTCGGAGTATATAACGACCGTCGTATGACTTGTGACTTGTGCTCGGCTGTGTTGATATTTAATTCTGTGTAGATTTGCAATCACTGAACAATAGACTCACAATACGAGATTACACTTCACAATTTCCTTGTCCGCGCGCATGTGCACCTCGTACTCGTCGTGTAATGCGAGTATCCGGAAACATTTTTTGCTAAACCCTTATACATTCGTATTCTGAGACTGAAATATCGCGAAACTGAAAGCTCAGTTTTCGGTCAGGTGTCAAATCACAATGACATGTATATCTCCTTCATAGCCTGGATAACAGTTTCACAAATAATGGATCTGGTAGATGGCTGTCCCTCAACTAATGCAACGACCCAGGCGGAGGAGAGGAGGGGTATTGATGCCTCTCATTAACCCTTCTGTCTTCTGTTCCCCTCACGCTAGAGAACACCTAATAATTACAGACAGAGTAGGTTTTGAGGCATAAAAATATGTAGAGTTTACGTTGAATCAAGGCCTTCCCAACCGATGAGAAAATATGAATAACTCTTGATGGTGGCCATAATTTGACAATCTCCAGGATACAGTAAAAAGTAATATTGTAATGCAGTTCAATGCTTTTGTGCAATACATTTAAGATAATTATTTTTTGATATGGCCGATAAAAGGATTTAGAAGCATGATGTGTTTATATCGTGATTTACAACACAATCAGGGTTTGTGAAAAAAATATCGTGTGCATGCGGGGCACAATAGACAGGTTTGGGTCGAAGCATTCTGACACATTGTACTTAGAGAGAAAAAACGGCCAACAATAGAAGGTTACCAATTTTGGTTGTTCCAAGATAATCCCAAAGACGTGGTAAGGATAATTATCATGGAGAAATACGGCTTTCCGGACAAGGTGTTTGACGAAGATTACCGATTTTCTGTAATTTAGCTCGGAAACTCGTCGAATCAACAACAGCCATTGTTTCACTCCCATTAGGATAACCAGGCGCTGAATGGTGTTCAATGAGGGCTGTGCACCAACTAACCTCAACCGTAATTCAAGTTTAACAGTCCGAAAGTAGGAACTGTTGCAAACTAATTAAATTTAAATAATTAAATTAGGTTTTAATCTTTTCCCTCCACCCTCGTTCTTTCCCTTTTGTTGGTTATTTGGACAAATTGTATTTATATGACAACCGTTACCGGTTGTGTGGCTTGTAAGCAATGATTGTAACTTATATCCATGCTGATCTCATTCATGATCACTGCAGCGTAACCACCCTATTCATGATCGTCTACGCACATTTGACCAATGCACCTCAGTTGATTCACATCACAGGCGATATCCGTTCCTTGTGACAAGCTCCGTCAGCATCATTGTAATTGACATTGTTATCATCATCATCATCATCATCATCATCATCATCATCATCAATGTGAAACTTGACACAAAATAGTTTCCTTCCATTACAGATTTGAATTTGACATTCAAAGAAAATCGGAAACATTTGTGGAGAAAAATGCAATCCGCTTTGCTCTATCTGTATGGATTCCGAAACGATTATGACTTTTTCTTCAAAGCGGACGATGACACGTATGCGACTGTGGACAATTTGCGTTACGCATTGAAGGATTTGAATCCGGACGAGCCGATTATTTCTGGCTATCCGTTCACGGTAAGCAGTTTTACGAGTTCTAGGGGCTGGGTGTCACCGGGAGTCGGGGGGGGGGGGAGAGTGATTCGCTCCAACAACGAACGGGGGGATATTTTGTGTCAGATAAGAGTTTGTAGTTTATTTTACGCAGTAATTCGAGAATAAAGTAACAACTAGACCAGCATGGGTAGTATTGTAGGAAATGCTGTTTTTCATAATTTCATTGAATCGGGTCTGGTGTGTTCAGTCCCTCATGCTTCTTGGAGACGTTGCCTAATTTACTTTTGTGATTGCGTCACTCCGCAAACTTCTGCCTGATCTCTTTCCACTCCTGGCAATGTAATACACGGCTTGGAGTTAAACATTTAATAAGGCTTTGCTGAAGCTCTGAACTGATGTGAACTGCAATAAAGGTTACCATTATCCAAGAAATTAGAAGTTTATTTGGAAGAATAAAGTTATGGAAAGCGTTTGAGCAAACAAATTGTTATATAGACATCAGAATGATGCGCTTTCACGCCTTAGCAGATGAGAATTCCTCGGTAACTTAGTCTCGATAGTTAAACGCGTGCTATGAGCAGACCACGGCTAAAGGCAGTAGAACGAAGTCCAACAAATTGGCACTGTTTATCGATAAATGGTATGAATCGAAGTTCTAAAATCATACAGGGATAATGAAACAGAAAAAAGTAACTAACAGCCAGGTGAGCAACTAAATTATAGAGCAGCAGTAACTGTGTTTGACAGCAATCTCGTGGGGACAATGTCCACCCGGTAGACAGCTAGTAGGCCTAAAAGTAGCGCAGCAGTGAAATGAAAATTGGGAAAGGTTGCTGCACGGTATGAAAAACGCTTACGATTTACTTTGGTTCTGGAATAAAAAAGAATACAGAAGGACAGTACAATGGGTTTAAATGAAGTACCGTATCAATGAGTTGAGAAATGAGCATGTCCGTGACAAGTGTGTGTGCGTTGTTGGGGTAGCGTGTGTGTATGTGTCAACGATGCAATTGTCCACGGTTCGAGCCCTTGTGCGGTAGGCTTATACTCGCCGAACAAGCATTCAGAAGAGCTTTGTGTCCATGGGAAAATGCAACCTTATGAATACACATATCGTAATCACAGGATTTATAGTTCGGTAAATACATTATTGGAATATGTAAATTTCAAAAGTATAGACGCCATGGGATACACGAAAAACGGAAGCTAGTGCGGAGATGAGCATGGTCTGTGGCCCGCAATAAGCTCGCAAAGATGAGTTATGCTACATCGTGTAAATGGAAAATGAAAAACGGTCTGATCAGCTGTCCGGTGGCCGATTGGGTAGCATGCTTACGTTCTGCCCATTAGATCCCGGGCTCGATCCCCAATCGGGTAGATTGATTCGCACTGCTAATGAGACACAAACAGGTCGAAACTGCTGTCCAGTGCTTCCTAGCTTCTCAGTTCACAAGTAAATATGCTATATGCATGACGAATTCGCCTTTGAAATTGAATCAAAGCCCCCACTACTCACTTGAAGGAAGTTGAACTGTTGGGAATTTAAACACTGAATGCCACACCTAAGCAGCTTATTGCAAATGAGGAAGGAAAGAATTAAGAATAGTAATTACCAAAGACATTTTCTCTGAGATCCATAGCAATCGTTTCGGTCGATCACGATTGTTTCAAATCTCTTATGGCATGTACTAATCTGAAAACCAACCTCCAACGGAAATTGAAGCACTGCTTTCAGAAGATATCCTGCCACTCTAAAAGATGGAATCCTGCCAGTTCGACGGATAATACTATAATCTACGAGGAGTTGTTCTTCATCGTCCTGTCCAATTAGGAATACTGTTTGAATCATGTTTTGTTTCCCGATTTTGCATTGATGCCCCGGTCCCCTGAAGCAAAAAAGCCACATCATAAGTTCTTTTGATGATGTGAAACTGGTACGTTTCACCGAAGCGGTGGCAATTCTCCCATTATACGCCTTGGTCACATTCTCGCTCTGATCTGATCTGCGAAGAGCTTGATGGATCACACAAACCGCTCAAATGTGATTGCAGTTTTCAGCAGTACTCACCTATTGAGATGAGGGTAAAAGGTGCGCTTCAAACATTGCGTATTCACTTGATTTCAGGATTATCTATTCAAGTGGAAAGCACGAAAGTGTTCCTTCTCTAAATGTAATTTACTAGCATTGTAACGAAATGGACGGGGTTTGAATGTTACAGATGCTAGCAACAGTGATGGGGTTATGCACGAAACAACGATGGACGGATCTTGAAAGGCAATCAACTGTGCTAATCAAGTCAAGTTAAGAAAAGCGTTATGCACCAAAAGGGTGAATTTTCAGCAGTTTATGACTTTTACAGTGGATAGGTATAACAAGTGCAAACAAAAAAAGACAATGTAAGAAATTCTACACTTTAATAAATTGCGAGAAAGACTATGCAAGAGATTTTCCCTGAGATGGGTGAGAATATTCTGACGATTTACTAGTAAACGAGGTAGGTAAGGAATTACACTGTTTCGATAAGTGGAAGTCCGCGCAGGAAGAAGTTGATATTTGGAGCTTGTCCGGGGATTTGACAGGGCTTTCACGATATCTTGGTGCAGATAATACCCTTGATCACGCGTTATCCTGTCAATGAATGTATCACAAGCGTCAAGATACTTGGAAATAAAGAAATCAACTAAAACAACTCTATCAACTCCACTGTGGCGGAGCAAAAGTTTAAGGGATCTTGAAAATAAAGAGAAATCATTTTCCTTTAGTCCAGGGATAAAAAAAATCGAAGAGCAGTATAGCCAGTGTGGAAGAATGCAGGCAATCACAAATTTAATAATAAGGTTATGTGGTACGACTAGTTTCCTGAGCCTGTAAGCATAGAAGGACAGTTTTCGAACACTAGTGAAAACGTTGATGACATGAGCAGACCAGGACAGGTTATGGGTAAGAGTGACACCAAGGTATTTAACAGATGCAGATTTGGGAATACTTTGATTGTTTATTCTAAGATCAGGGAGATTATCAACTAATGAAAAATAACGGGGACCGGTTTTAAGACTAAATGAAACTTCGATGCACTTACTGACGTTAAGTTTAAGGGATCGGGTCACAGACCAATCGTGAAGTTCATTAAGACTGCCCTGGAGAGGTCGAAAACTGTCTGAAATAGGGGCCGGGCAACCAATCACAATATCATCAGCATACTTACAAGCAATAAAGTTGGCGGGAACGGACAGATTTTGTATATACATAGAAAACAAGAAAGGGGACAAAATGACGCCCTGAATAAGCACCAGTTTCAATGTTAATAGAAGAAGACTGTACACCATTGAATGAAGTAAACTGAGTCCTACGGGAACAGTAGTTGATTAGTACATTCAAGACTTCAGGAGTTAGAACACACTCAGGACGACGATCAATAAGCAGTCTTCCGTCGAGAGAACCAAAAATGTTTGTATAGTCAAGAAAATTTAAATGAGTGGTACCAGCGCCATTGTCCAAGACGGAAGCAACAGAATGAACAATATGAGCAACGGCATCAAGTGTGGATGAATGGGGTTTATAAGCAAATTTTAATGGATTATGGGAGTTACACTGGGCTATCATGCGGTGTAGCAGAACACTTTCATTGCCTGCACATCTGTGCTGCTTCAGCAACAGATGTGCAGGCAATAGGACGGCAGTTTGACGATCCTTTCTTTTGGATTGGTCTGATCCTGGCTGACCTCCAACAATCGGGGATCGTTCCAGATGACCAACAAGTACTACAAAATTCAGTAACGGGTGTCACAAGCAGGTCAGCACCGAATTTCAACAAATGAGGTGCTAATTCATCGGGACCATGAGCTTTATTGGCCTTGAGTCTCCTCAAAACTTGGAGAAGCTCATCCGGAGAAACACGGCTTATTGCATCACGGGTAGGAAAAGGAGGTGGGAGGGAGCTAGATACAGGCACAGAAGCAAATTGACGGTTAAGTAGCTAAATGTTGGGACAAGAACTGATGCGTGAGCCACAGAGTTTCCGCAAGGTAGTCCAAATCTCACGAGTTTTTGTTGCAAAAAAAACAGTCTCAATGTACACTCCGTTCAGGCATCTTACTTCTACTCTAATCAGAACAGAGAACTCTTCGACACTTACGCCTGCCGGCCGTATATGCACTCTCCTTAGCACGACGAAGTCTCGTAAGAAGGGGAGAGAAAAACCTATCGGTTCGAATATAAATAATTTCAACAGGACAACATTGGTCATAGCAGAAATTAAGATAGTCGATAAGGTGTTCACAAGAAGAAGACAGCTGATTATGGAAGAACACAGAAAAGTCAGTGGAAGAAACTAAGTCCCGCAGTCGGAACAAGTTCTCAGGAGAACAATTTCTCTTCTGTAGCGTACGAGAGATGGGTCGTGTACGAAGGCACTGATTGGTTTTACAATATATTTTGGGGTGAAGAAGAATGGTAAAGTGGTCAGAAGTGCTAATTGGGGCTCGTTTAAAAAGAGAAGCATATTGAGACTGGTGCCTGGTGCCTCTGAACAATCGAATGGGCTTATCCAAGCTTGATACTCCATACTGGGACTATTTGCATAAATGCCATCAGGAAAGGCATTGGTACGAATTGAAAAGTTGGTAAGGTTCTCTAAGCCTAGAGTGGTTAGAAAGGAAGTATCAAACTGATTAAAGTCACCAGCGGTAATACATAAGGACTGGTCAATACAACTGGCGAAGTGTGTTACTACAGTATCAGAGAGTAGTCTTAAGTTGGGGGCGATATAAATATTCACAAAGAAAATGAAGCGAAATCTGCTGAGAAAGCGGAGCTTGCAGCAAACAAAAGTACATATAATTTTACTTGTTGAGTAGGAAAAAACCAAACGAGTGTTCTTGCACCAAATTCGATTTACGAAAGTGACCACTCCGCCACCTCTGTTGCGAAATTTCACAATCCGATCACTCCTGAAAACATTAAAACCGTCCACTCTGACCATACCCTCCTCAATGTCTGGGTGTAACCAGCTTTCCTGAAGTAAAATGACTCCCACACTTTTGCATTGTTTCTGTTGCACCAGATTCTGGACGTCATCGATTTTTCCCACAAGTGAGCGAATGTTACTCGAACAAATGGATAGAATGGTCATCCTGTTGATAGAGCTTCGCCGGAGCGCAACCTGCCAGCCTGCGCGATGATTTTTATGGTGACCTTGATGTTTATTTCTCAACCGTTTGTAACGGTTTCCTCACGCTGAAACTCCAACGTCATTCGCGAAAACACAGAAAGATTTCATAAAGTAGAAGGTGTAGGTCAGCATTTGACCTTGAAAAATTGGTGAGCTGATGTAAACGTGTAGGGTCAACAGTATCTACTGCAAAAAACGTAAATAGTTGTCCAATTTCAAAAAACACTGCCGAAATTCAAAGTCCCCGCCATATAAGTCAAATCAAAATAAACAGAAAAGTCGAACCGGTGGTGTGAAGTTGAGCCAACACGTACCGGTGTACACTACCGAGTAGATAATCAGTTCACAGGCATTGTAACACTTCACATTCGTGGTCGCCTAGCCACAGACACGCACGAGGCCCTGAGCATATTCCGGTGTATCTATGTTTGATCGTCATTTGCACGGGACTATCGCAACGGGCAATTTATTGCCACCTAACTCTCACCTTTTATTACAAGTCTGTAAAAATCTTTGTTAGTCTGAGTTTTTTTCCGGTCGAAAACAACAAGAACGCGTTGACAGACTAATTGATTATTCTGGGCAATTGGAACAGACATTTGATTAAAAACGTGAACGAAAACGTGTGCCGCGAACACTCCCATGAACTCAATCAAGGCAACACAGGAAGTACAATCAGTTAGTTTCTTTTAAATCGGCTTTGAATATAGTATAGATTACAGTAAGCTGAACACCAAGTTTGTTAGTTCAACGCACCTAAGTGAATCGGCGGTATTTGAGGAGGAAGAGAATAAGTTCTGCATGAACAGGTCAAAAAGTTTTCCCTCTACTGTTGTCATGACATCCAGAAAGAAGAATTAACGTCACTCGGGCAACGAAAATACGCACCGTTGGTGGTTATGTAATGTCATTTCAGCAACTGGTTCGAGTAACTTGGCAAAACCAGATGATTATTAAAACGCGATGGCTTAGAAAAACCTGGGGAAACGCTTCACTTTACCTTTCGCAACAAAGATCAGCAGTGTGGAAAATGTATGGTTTCTTTTGAGCTACAGAAAAATGAGCAACTTTAGCTTCTTATTCGAAGCAAAAGCACGTGCACTGTGTATCGTCACAATGAGGTACCCTCGCACCCACGTTTGATATACTCGTAAAGTTTATTCTGTGCCCTTTCGGTGATTGAATGTTTTCCAGTTTTATGATTGGCCGGAGCTTTGAGTATCATTACATAGAGAAATAAGCACTGATTTCCTCGTTGTCAAACCTACAGCACAAAGTTTGAGTGTTCCTGGAATTTAGGCACTCGCTGTATAGCCGGGTGTTTGGAATCGAGAGACATCACATGTTTGTGCACAACTTGATATTTTCCGGTATTCCGCGTTGGTGTTCTCTACCATCCTCACAGTCGGCTGATCGTTAGACTAGGTCGGAATTACGCGGCCACTTTTCTATGTTCTAATGTGTGTGTTTGATATAGGGCGGTGGTGGCCCGGCACTAACGTCACCAAATTATCACTCCGGGGCTGTGTTCGAATCTCACCACCACCACCACCACCACCACCACCTGACTTTCCCCATTTTTGTGTCGAATAGTAGACGTTTGATTGGCCGCTTTCCTGTTGCTGAAGATTGTATCTTTGCATAAATTCAATAAAAGAAAGTGAAATTTTAAAAATTTTAAAAATAGACCACAGATGAAGAGGCTCCGGTGTCTCTCTGGTAATAAATCGGAGAAGTATATGATGGACAGATCGATTATTTGACATTACTGTTGGTATATTATTCAAGAAAGAGAACTTATATCAGCTGGGCAACGAAAGACAAACTGGTGGTCGTGATATGTGATGCTTATAGATGCATTGTCAGCATCCGGTTCGAGTCAGTTGACAATCCAGGACAATAACTAAAATGAGTCAGTTTACACACTCCCAATGAAACACTTTATTTTGCCAATCGTCACAAAGAACAGGCGCAGATTAGCATCAGTTTAAGTAAAAATAGCATCGTAATACTCAATTGACCGTTCCAGGAGTCCATGTTTTCGAGCGACCTGAATGCAGTCCTGTCCTCGTCATGCCCGAGAACCTCTGGTGACCATGAGTCGACACGGGGAGCCTTGTTGCAATATGGCCTGAGTTTATGGAGTAAGCACTGAAATAACAAGCCGTATTTGGTATTTTTTTCCATTGAGACAAGTGCACATGTATTAGTAGTAAGTACATTTTCACCCCAATTTTTTCATAACCTATATGTAAATTTGATTCAGCGCTAATTCATTTGTCCACCTGTTTGTGATTGGTCGTTTGCGTCTATGGATCAATGTGGAAACACATGGCGACAATGATATCCTTGAAGTCAAACTCGAATAACGAACTTTCACTGTCCCTGGAATTCAGACAGGCACGATGTGATTTGGGGCTTCATCAATATTCTATCTGTGGTTGACTTCTATACCTGCGAGGTTTTCTGATTTACCGTTAAATCAGCAAGATTTTCGAAATATCCATCTATCAGAGTGTGAAACTTGGATTAGCCCACTCGATTGTTCAGAGGCACCAGCGGTAAGGATTTGAAGTCCCGACCCGACTGATCGCGGTTCGAGTCTTGACACGGGGACACAAAAACTATGCACTGTTGACCAGTCCCAAACAGGAGAAAACAGCTGTCCACTGTGCACTTTGTTGGTTATCACGAACATTTCAATCGCATTTGTATCCATCCATCAGTTGTCAACAAAAATAATTGATCCATTTTAGATGACTTAAATCTTAAACTATCGAAATAACATAACATGGAAAAGCAAGACCCATAGTGAACTCTCATAGACCCTATTGGTCAGCGAAATACACTGTAAAGTGCGATACTGCACCAAATTACATTTCGAAAATGGTCAAATAAAGAAGGTTGCACTTACAAATCGCTAAGTGTTATGATCTGAACCGTCCTTCAGGCGAGGAATTTCAAAAAAAGCGGTTTTTATGAAAGTACCGCGCTAATTTTATCCTAAATAAATGCAGACAAATCCCACATAAGAAAATACTTATTTTCGGCTTCTCGGTCAAAATGTTAATAATGCATTATCCAATGTGGTCAGATAAAGAGAGAAATCGTAACACGCACGATGTGATTTTTTAGGTCGAACTATTATTAAACAGTAGTCACCAGGTCAAAATTGATGCTTTTATTACTAAAGAAAATGAAAGGGTTACGATAGATCTCAGTCACTCTTCGTCCTGTATTTAGCCAGAAACGTGAACTGAAGAGCTTGGAAGCACTATTAGACAGCTGTTTCGATTTGGTGGGCTCTCATCAGCAGTGCGCGAATCCATCGACGCCATTGGGAATCGAACCCGCGACTTCATGAGCAGAACGCAAACATGCTACACACTGGGCCACCAAGCAGCTGATCAGACGACCGCTTTTCTTTCCATTTGGACGATATAGCACAACCCATCTTCGCCAGCTTTTTGTCAGCCACAGACCTCGCTCATCTCAGCACTAACCAACCACCCGAGGGTTATGACTCGGTTGAATAGAGTGACAACCTGACTACTTTCGTCGATGAATTCGCAATGCTGATGAGGACCAACCAAGTCAAAACAGCTGTCCAGTGCTTCCTACCTATTCAGTTCACGCTTCACTTGCTGTATATACGATGAATTCACCTGTGAAATTGATTCAACTCTTCCATTGCTCACATTCTGTTTTCTCATCCAGTCGGAAACGCGGGTCCAACTGTTTGTTTTCTTCTAATCAGGGGCGCGTGAATCGCACAGATATTTGATCAGCAATTTTGAAACATATGACGTGTAAGCGAACAAAGCCAGAATGATGCACCCATTTCACCCCAATCTAATCTGTAGACAACTCCGATTAAAATATAATCAGTTACCAATCATTGGTACAATAAACTTGCTAATTAGTAAACAATATTTCTTGCCATCATCACCCCAAACCTCAATCGTTTTTTCTGTAAATTGACGGTCAGCACATCATAAAAAGTGGGCATCTATCCGGTGGGGCTGGTTACGTTCTTTCGCGGGCCACTTTGAAATTGCTGGTGGAAAAAGCGTTGAATAAACATCCGGAATGTCCAACATTTGATGAGGATTTGGAAGATGTGAAAATTTGTGAGTTCTTTTTATGTATTATCCCGTTTTTTCCATCCTTCATTGGGTGATCCATTTCGACAAGTTTTCCATATGTAAGGTGTGCCATAAACATGCCATGGAAGTTAGATTACTTGTATATAGCCCATTATTATGGCCGGATAGCCAAATGCGAAGCGGGTAAAGAACTGACAGCGGCCTCAAACCCCCAGCTGGTAGAGCAGACTCTCTGGTCGGATGTAGGAGGCTGTTTTCGTGCGCGCGCTCTATTCTGTAACCTTTACACAGTTAAATGTTTAGAAGAGTTTAAAAGCCCGTAAGATTTGAAAGGTTGCTGCAAAATTCAGTCTTGTTTGAGCTATCATAACTGTTCTGTGACAAACACAATCAGACAATATCTATGAGCTCTAACGGGATGACTAAAACTAACATGGCAGATTTACTTGGGAATGAGCGTCCAAGTCTTCCAGGAATTCGGTTAGCAAATGGAAGCTCTAAACATTTAACTTTCGCGGCAATTGCTTGACACTTGTTCTACAACAAAGTTGGAAACATACTAGGAGACGGTACCGCACACCACTATGGACGATAACCGGTTGATCGTACAGTATCTCCGTACATCGATCTGCATATCGTTCTTCGTGCTCAACACTTGATGCCGTTGCATACCGTGTTAATTCAATAATTTCAACACGAGATAAGAGAAGTTAAACCACCAGATGACATAAAAAAGGCTTTCAGCAGTCTTGATCGATCAGTACTACTCAACCTGTTTACCGAAAGTGGTGTTAATGCAAATTTTAGTAGATCGATCCGCTATCGTGCCACAAATAGAAGGCGGTTTACGTGCCTCAACGGCAATCATCCTCCACTCGCTCAGTTTATTTTGGTGTTCTGCGAAGTGCAAAATTTTCCCAATGTTTCTTTATAGTGTGTCAAACAATTTCTCATTCTTCCTGCACTCATTGGCTGTAAATACGCAGATGACGTTGTTTTAGATTGCAAAGTATCCACCCCTGAAGAGGCTTCAGCAATTCAAAGCAAGCTAAACGACGATGTTAGTTGGTCCATGTCCCGTTCTCTCTCATTGAATGCCTCTAAATGTCAGGATGTTGTGCTTTCCCTCTTGGCCGATGTACCATATTCAGTGCCCACAAATAGGTCCCCCACTCCACTGCCAATAGGGGACCAGTATCGAAATCAACAATAGTAAAATACCTTGGCGTCAAATTATCACATAATTTATTCGCTTCTCCCCGTGTTTACTCGCTTGGATAGAAACTTCCATTGTAACGGTTCATTCTCAGTCCGTGTTTACGCACTCAATTCGAGAGCAATCCTAGTTTATTGCGGGTGTTCTACAAAGTACTATTCTATCTTCTACGGCCATTCTACTCTTCTTGGACCACCCATTTTCCCAAACTCCTAACGCTACTGGTGCTTTTGTTCAAAATCTCACCTCACTCTTTCCTGCCGCGCAGTGATACTACGCTGTAATTATTCATAACACCAAACCTTTTCCGGGATTGTAATCATTTTCAAAGAGAAGCAAACATCAAAACAATAATTTACAAAGCACTTGACCGAAAAGAGCACATACTGGGACAAAGAAAAGTAGTTTGAAAGCAGTGAAATCGTCGAGGTGATTGGTGATTTTGGAATAAAACAGTTATCTTTCATTTGTAAAAATTGTTTGGTTTATTTGTTTTCAACTGAAAATCAAGTGCTGACAACATCCGCGTCCTTTTTAGCTATGTGCGCGTATGCAGTTGGGGCCCGGTTTGTGCCACTGGTCGATCGGCACAGCACGATCCCTTATCACGTGGACGACTTGCATCAGAACGAATATCGATTTCAGTGGATGGATTTGAAATCGCTGTTCGACTGGGAATTGCCGTACAAAAAGGCTGCCCTAACGGATTCCGTGCACTCGACTGTTCCGTTCATTCGTGATGATCACGTGAGTAACACAGACGAGACGCATTTGCGTACGCCATAACTGAAGGACACGATCATAAATCATCTATGCCTTTTTCAGTTTAAGATATTCGAAAATCAGTTTAAGATGTGATGTTGTTTTATGGATAGTACCTTGCACTGTACGAGGTGTAAACATTCGATGGGACCACTGTTTCCACGGATCCACGTGCGTCCTACTGGCATACTGATTTAGGGACCTCTTCAATATCGTCCCACTCTCAACAGAAATATGTACGGTCGATGATCTTGTATGATCTCGTTTGCACACATACTGGACAATGCAACCCACGATTCAGTCAGAGTTATGCCACCATGTGCAAACCGACGAAGGCTTGGTTGAATACGAAACAAAAAAGAACATGCTTCAGCGTTTGGTGAGGTCTTTCACACGATGACCTCATTTTTCATCTGGCCACTTGGCAAAAGAGCTGTAGACTGAACAGTGCTCACCACGAATTTTCAAGGTCTCATGAATGAAGTGTTCTCGGTACAAAAGGAGTGGGGGGCTGGTAGCGGAAGACATGAAATGGGGTTGAACGTTGGCAATGTTCAGCATAGAACTGAAAAAGACCGTGTACAACTCGGACAGCATAGAGTCTTGTGCAAAATGTATACGACTGATATCATATGCTACGGAAAAGGGGCAAGCACCAGGTCACTTGTTGTGGCTAAACTATCCAACCGAACGATAAATGAACCCGATCGGTCGTTTGATTTTCGGGCTGGCGGAGGAGGAGGATAAGTTCTGAATCCGATGCTGCTTAAGTGTTGGTAGAGAATCACCAGAGAAGAAATTCGTCTCTCGATGAAACGCTCCGGATATCCATTATTCACGAGTCTAAATTGGATGAATCTTAGTTCTTCCTTCGTTAGATCCTTAGAGCAAATCATTCGAGTTCTAAAGGCCTAAAGGACTGTTTCGTTAAAATTTGATTGGAAAGAAACTTTGGGAATGAAATTGTTGACCGTTTTCGAAGAATTGAATGACGTAACTTTTCATTGGGCTCCTTCTTCAGGTTAATATCAAGAAAGTGGAACGTATCCTGATCCTGTGTCCATCGTAAAGCTGATTGACGCGTGACCTCGGTGAAAATGATCCAATATTATGTTGGGTAAAATTCTTTGACCGGAAAGGATAAAACTGTCATCAATATAACTGCATTATGGTGGGATTTAATGAATAATGTCCCGTAGTTCGTTGTTTTTCACATAGCAACATGACATCTTAAACTGATATTCGGACATCTTAAAATGAAAAAGGTATAGTTTCCATTAGAATTAGATGGGGACAGCAACAGCGAAAACCCAAATTTGTGAAATTTAGGCAAACTTTTAAAGTTGCCTATTAGTGTCGTTTTACCGACTCTTTTCTTTCCTTCACCCCTCATCATTCAGTAGCGTGAGAGAAATCGTACATCTGTGTTACACATAGTCATCATCATCATCATCATCATTATCCACTTTCTCCGCAAACCTAGACATGGTTTTGTATGTAATCTGTTTTAGTCGGATTCCAGATCCATGTCGCAAATTACCATCGTTTGGTTAAATTAATTTCAAGGAGCCCCTTCTCATTCATTTGATTACCTCCGTTTTATTTTGTTCTTTCGAAAACCGAGCCTGGTCATCTATAAACAAGAACGTTGGCGTTACCAAATTAGTACGGATATTTTCAATGCATTTCATATGCATACATCAAAGCTGTGATTAGAAAAACTAGGCACAGAAATCATTTATCGATCCATAATATGACCTAGGCATTCAGATGGTGTCGTACGCCTCAGTTTACCGCGCGCCGAGAGTCGATAAATGAATTAGTCCGACTGACAGTCATTGGTTCTTGTTTTCCTATCNTCATTGGTTCTTGTTTTCCTATCCATTGTTAGTTCCCTTGTTTCCGGACTGTTTGTTTCATGTTTGTCAGGAGTATGGATTGTGGCAAGTGAAATTGGTCCCTTACATGGATCAGCATCTAGGTAGAAAGAAGTCAAAGAAGACAAATTTGAAAAACAACATTTCGCTTTAATGCACAAAAACATAAGACTGGTCGTTTGCATGGAAACATTCAGGTACTATTCGCCCGCTTATTGGAATATCATATACTCTTATTTTTGATCGATTTTTAAACTCATTCTGCAATTCAATCCTTCTGCCCCGTTTTTCGTGCTCCATACCGTGTAACAGAACCTTCTCAGCGAGATGCTCATCAGTTTGCACTATATCAGCCCCAAACTGCAATACACATATCACTTCCTCACTTACTACTTGAGACCAGTCGGAATTATGTACGAACAATGAGGTCTCGCATTTACCGCCCCGCCCCGCCCTACTCACAAAGCCACGCCTATTCTCGTTACCCATGACTTCCAATCGCCCGTTTCCTATGCGAACTGCACGTGCGAACATGCTAACAAACGTTTCTGGGACCCGAAATTTGACCCTACGAGAAAAGGTTGGATTTTGTACGGTTTATTTTTGTTTCATTATATATACATGCATTTTTGGTGAAAAGTAAATTTTTTGATGGAATTGAAATAAAAAATGGTTTTCTTTCAGCCATGATTAGAACGAGATCTGAAGCACACAGTAATTAAGAAAAATAGACCCTGTAGTGTTTTTATTATCCGATACTGTTCATTCTTCATTGAACTCTCTCGGCTAGCATTCGATTTTCTCCTAAGTTGAATGAAGAACATTTAAATGCAGTGGAAATGTTTGTTATAACCAACTAAAACACTCCCTGGACAGCTGTTTCGTCCTGTTTGGGACTCGTCAGCAGTGCTTAGTTTTTGTCCCCGTGTTAAGACTAGAATCGTCAGCTTCCGTTTTGTGGTTTCAAACCATTACCCCTGAGCCATACGGTCGAGGCTTATTACCTTGTGCGAATGGCTCCGTCAATTTAGATGGTGAATCTTTGGATTATTCGGTTGGGGTAAGGGTTTAAAGTTCCGCCGATCCGAATGTACGCAGTTCGAGTCCTGACACGCGGACACAAAACGTGCGCACAGCTGTCGAGTCCAAAACAGAACGAAACAGCTGGCCAGTGCGTGCTCTTTGTCAGTTATCGCAAACATTTCCATCGCAGTTAAATGCATTCAAATAATGGGGCCTTACCGATCTCCCACTGAGTGAAACCCACACCGAACATCAATAGTGTCTGGTTCCTGCGAAAAACCGAATAGGCCAATCCAAACATTCGCCATCTAAATAGATAACATCTTTATGGAAAGAAATTAAATTGTTGGTTCCCTATGGATTTGGAACCTAGACGATCTTGTTGATTGGGCGTGGAATGAATTCGAATTCCAATTTAAATTATTTTTAGTACAAGTGAATAGTAAATTATAACTCTCACTCACCGGTGTTGAACAGTATTTCGATATTTCAATGCTTCATCCAACCGTGACTTGAATGACTCGGTGATGTTTGGAGCAGGTGAAAGAGGGAGTTCCAGTTATTACAAACTCTGAGGCTGAAAGAGTATAACCGACTCTCAACAGTATCCACCGGTTGTCGTGCCGAACGGAACGACATATTATGGTCACCTAGTTTGGTTGAATACAGATGAAAGACTATCCCTCTCTATCCTTCAAGCACAATGGTTTCCCAGTTAATCTGATGCAATTATACGGTAAATGGAATATGCGTTACACAATTGCTTCTATACGCCTGTAACAGAGCGGTGCTGGGTACGATATACAGGAATAAAATAGTCGGTAATGGGATCAGAAAATCCAACACAATTACGTCACCATGGTGTATACCTGAAATCATGCTTCGGACTATAGCATCTCCCTCATCTAACGGTTTTCTGTACCATGTAGGGATTTACCAATCCGTTGGGGGAATAAATCTGGCCTTATATTCAAAACTAAGTTAGGGTTCACGTGCCATATTGATGTAGCGAAAATCCAAATTACTCGCAAGATCAAATTGTAAATTTGCCCATCTTATCGGTCATATTGCAAGACCAGAATTCGCGACAAACAGTCAACGATCGATCGATCGTTTGATCGAACTGTTTGATGCGGGCCTGAGTAGCTATACTACATACATGAACTGAATCGAGCGATTATTATTCGATATGGATTTTCGATGTGGCTTGG